TAAAATCGGTGGTGAATTTTCCAGACACTTTTTCATTTTGTTAAGAAATAAGGGGAAATAACTCTGATTAAATGTCTACTCTATACCAGGCATTGTTACAAGGCTATTTTCCAACATTATTTCAATTTTAATTAGTACCTACTCATGGGCTAAATGTAGTGGCACACACCTGTAATTCCCATGATTTAGGAAGCTGAGGCAAGGAGGATCGAAAGTTCAAGGCCAGCCTCAGGAGGTTAGTGAGGCCCTAAGCAACTTTGTAGGAGCCTGTCTCAAAATGTTAAAATAAAAAATAAAAAGGAGAGCTGGGGATGTGGCTCAAGCTGTAATACTCTCGCCTGGCATGCGCGGGGTTCTGGATTCAATCCTCAGCACCACATAAAAATAAAATAAAGATGTTGTGTCCACCAAAAACTGAAAAATAAATATTAAAAAAAATTCTCTCTCTCTAAATAAATAAATAAATAGGGCTGGGGAAGTAGCTCACTGGTATAGCATCCCTGGGTTCAATTCCTAGTACAAAACAAAACTATTCATGGAATTAGTATGTTATTATTTTTTTTTAAGAGAGAGAGAGAATTTTAATATTTATTTTTTTTTAGTTATTGGCGGACACAACATCTTTGTTGGTATGTGGTGCTGAGAATCGAACCCGGGCCGCATGCATGCCAGGCGAGCGCGCTACCGCTTGAGCCACATCCCCAGCCCGAATTAGTATGTTATTAGCCAATTTTCAGATGAGGAAACTGAGAGGTAAAGAGATGGGATTGGAAACCAGTTTTTTTTTTTTTTTGGTATCAGGGATACTTTACTACTGAGCCACATCCCTAGTCCTTTTTTTTTTTTATATTTATATTTTTATAGACAAGTTCTCACTGAGTTGCTTAGGGCCTCACTAAATTGCTGAGACTGGCTTTAAATTTTTGTTCCTCCTGGCTCAGCCTCCCAAGCCGCTGGAATTATAGGCATGCATCACTGCACCCAGCCCTGGAACGCAGTTCTGTAAGACCACAATACCCTGTGTTCTACACTGGCTTACTTAGTATAATTCATAATGGAAATACTGCCTTCACAAAATTCCTTATTCTTTTAAACCCTTGACTTGGGGTATAGGCCCTAAGTTCAATCCTCAGCAAAACCAGACCAAAACCAAAAAAAACCCTCTAAATTTTTGAGGTGGGGGGAAATAACATAAACAGACTGGGAAGTTTTTATATTATTCCTCTATCTACCCCAACAAATGCAATAGTTGCATTAAAATGACATCAAATCCTTTTTCTACTATGAAGAAAATAGTATCACTAATGACTCAGTACATTGGCAGTCAGGTGTTCTAAGTTAAACTCTGTGCTGCTAAATTAATCTAATGACAAATATATAAATCCTTGGCAGAAATGTGAAGTTACATCTGGGGACCATTAATTCAGGGTTACTGTGAAGCAAATGTACTACCTCACTTAATCCTTCAACAGTCCTGTGAAGTAGTAACACCATTTTATGGATAAAGAAGCTGAGGTTTAAAGCAGTTAAATATCTTGCTTAATGATGAGAGGCAAGAGCAGGATTAAAACAGATGGCCCTGAGTAGGGTCTGATCTGGTCATAACTATCATCTCTTTCCAGAAAAGGCCTAGAACAGCAGCAGTACAATCATACAGGTTAAGGTATCTGAGGACTGTCCACTCACTTGGTATATTAATAGTTTTTTGTTGTTGTTGTTAAGCTGGGTATTGAACGTAGGGCCTTGTACATTCTAGGCAAGCAGTCTACCACTGAGCTACATTCCAAACACTGCCACCATCTTTGTGATGAAGATGGTAGCTATTATGGAACATCCAAGAAAATGCAAGACATCTTCTTTTTTACCCCTGGTGCTGGGAATTGAATCCAGGAACTCATACTCTGCATGTACTCTGTCACTGAGCTATAACCTCAGCCTTTTTTTCTTTTGAGACAGGGTCTCACTAAGATGCTCAGCCTGGTTTCAAACCTGTGATCCTTCTGCCTCAGCCTCCTTAGTAGCTGGGATTACAGGCATGTGGTCATCATTACTAGATAATGCTTAACAATCTTTAGTGCAGTATAAGTAACAGAACAAAAGAAGATCAAACTACTCTAGTTTTCCCCAGTATCTTCCTCAGAACAACTTTCCCATAAGGCAACCTGTAATAACTAACCAACCAAAAGCCAGGGTAGAGCTGGACGTGGTGATGCATACCTGTAATCCCAGTTGCTCTGGAGGCTGAGGCAGGAGGATTGCAAGTCCATAGCCCCAGCAATTTAGCAAGGCCCTAAACAACTTAGCAAGACTCTGTCTCAAAATTAAAAAAAAAAAAAATAATAATAAGAAGAAGGGCTGGGGCCCAGTATAGTGGCACACACCTGAAATCCCAGTAATTTGGGAGGCTGAGGCAGGAGGATTTCAAGTTCAAAGCCAGTCTCAGCAGATTAGCAAGGCACTCAGCAACTCAGTGAGACCCTGACTAAATAAAACAATAAAAAAGGGCTGGGGATGTGGCTCAGTGGTTAAGGGCCCCTAGGTTCAATCCCTGGTACCAAAAAAAGCCGGGGAGCTGGGGATGTGATTCAGTGGTTAGGTGGCCTTGGATTCAATTCCCCATATTGCAAAAAACCAAACCAAACAATCAAAACCAGGGTGGTGGTTCCAAAGGAAAATGTTAGGAAGATGAATATGTATCCAAATCCCCCTCTTGAAGACTGATTTATTCTGTTTAAATTTAATCTAAAGTATCCAAAATTCCTTCTTAAAAGGTAACTTTTACTTCCTCTCATGTCCCTATTTTCCCCCCAGTACTGGGGATTGAACCTAAGGCCTTATGAATGTGAGGCAAGAACTCTACCAATAAGCTATCTTCCCACCTCCTTCATGCATTATTACTCTATTGAAAAGTACACAATATACCAAAATTAGTCAGAGGATATCCCTATATGGTCCCCTATGACTGTGAACATGAATCTGGAGGACTTTCCATTCACTTCCCCAAAGGTGGGAAGGACCTGATAACCAACATGAACATCTTCCAGGTCCATATTTCAGTCTTCCATAGCTGATGGGAACTAGGCCTTTGCATGGGGGCATGCCACCATTTGCCATTCCATGACAGGCTGAGTCTCATGAAATTGCCATATGACCAAATACACTTTCAACAAGTTGACTCGTGAACCCCAGGTGAAATACAAAGAACCATCTGACAACAGAATTTGTTTTGAAAATATCCTGTTTCCTCTGGGAAACGGTGAGATCTATTGTCTATATTCTCTTGCTTTTCTGTTAATATTTCCATTTATATGATGTTTAATATGTGGATGCTTAATACATGGAAGCACTCAAACTCTGTGGTAAGCAAACTCATTAAAAATTCTCCCAAGCAGTTGTTTTTGGGGTGATGTTAGGCCTAAAGTAGACTTATGGTGGTGTAAGTTATTTGACTTGTGGAGAAAAATGAACTTCGAAAAGTGAAAGTAAAAATTCATCTCTGGGGCTAGGGTTGTGACTCAGTGGGAGAGCTCTTGCCTTGCACATGTGAGGCATTGGGTTTGATCCTCAGCACCACATAAAAAAATAAATAATGATATCGTGTTTATGTCTAACTAAAAAAATATTTTTTAAAAAACAACTCATCTCTGTGTTCCAAAGATTACTTACATTATTACTTTAAAAAATAGAATTGTGGACTTTTCTACCTGGAGAGGACTTGGGAAATTCTCTAGCTCCAATCCCTTCTTCACACATGAGGTTGGTAAAGGCTGAAAAGGTTAGATAATAGGTTCATGAAGCTGTCTATGGAAGAGCTGGGCTGGAACTCAGTTCCAAAACTGGCTAGTGCTTGTTTGCCTTTTTTTTTTTTTTAATCACAGTGCTGGGGATTGAAACCAGGGCCTTGTACAGGCTAGGCAAGCCCTCTCCCACTGAGCTACATACCCAGACCTTTATTTTTTATCTTATTTTTGAGGCAGGGTCTTGCTGAAGTGCTTAGAACGGCCTCCAATTTGTAATCCTTCTGACTCAGCATCCCAAGTAGCAGGGATTACAGGCAAGTGCCACTGTGCCAAGCTGTATTCTTTTATGTTCTTTTCTAATTTACGACAGTGTAATTTTAAGGAGTTACCTTCTTGATCATTGGCTGTAATGCAAGAGCTTGCCTCATTTGCTTTCCTTTGGTGCTGCAGTGGGAAGCAGGCCCACAATATCCCTCTTTGCTTCTCCTGCTCTATCGGGCGGAGCTTGTACTCAATTCTCTACCTTGCCCTTTGCCCCAACCTCTGCAGCTGATATTCTCCTTCTGCCTTTCAAAGAGTTATCAGAAATATGTGTATATAACTTTCCAAGTAGTCTGGGACAATAAGGAAAATGATTCCTGGTTTCAGTTTTTCCATAGGGCTTGAGTTTGCCCCAAGATTTTGGAAGATTGGAGAACTAACAAAAAGTAAAACTGCCATTCTTTCCCCATTTCTCAAGTCTGTTTTCTCTTAATTTATGGAAGAATTAGGAGTAAGAAAGAATTAAGCGCAGAAACTCCACTTGGAGTACTTGCCTAGCCCTGGAAAAGTTCAAGGTCTGAACTTTCCCCTTGTGATTTGTTGGTAGTCCTTCAGTCATATGGTCAAAGAAGCATCAGAGAAAAAATGTTGGGTAGCCGCACTTGAAGTCAGTGTTTTGATTCCTGGAAATCAATGAAGAAAGTGTATTTTTTTCTTTGGTGCTGAGGGTCAAAGAGAGAACCCTTTCCCATGCAGGAAGCCCACCTTGGGCATAAAAACTCACCCTACCTCATTCCTCAGGAGACACTGTTTTTCCATCCTAGCACTTACTATCAGACCCCCCTCCCCAAGTACCCGGAGGGCCTTGTTTTTAATCCGAGGTTGAAATGGAACTTTCCCTTGGGTGCCGGAGAGTCTCCCCTGAGGGCAGTGGCCTGCCTCTGGAGGGCAGCATCCTGGTGGGGCTCCTCTCGGATCCCAGAGCACCTTTTGTCCCTGGAGACGCCTTGCCCACCAGGTATGTGTAAGGCAAGTGCGGCCCGCTTTCCGGGGCGTCTGGTTGGGGTCTGGAAGAGGGACCATGGTTTTGGAGAGTGGCGGGCCAGCGAGCACGGGAACACGCTGGGCACAGCGAACTCACTAGCCGGGCGTCTCCTGGAAGTCCGGTTTGGGTCCGCCGGCTCAAGGGTTTTCTTCCTCTCAAATTCATCCCTGGGCAGAGCAACCTCACTTCGCATCCAAACTTGTGCAGATCAAGGATTAAGCGGGCGCGGGCCCAGCCCGACAGCGAGGTCCCTTCAGCGCCCCGGGAGCCGGTTACACAAAGACGGCGGTGGGGGCCCTGGGACTCGGACTCGGGCCCGGCGGGACGCAGGGCGACCCGGGGCCGTCCGACCGCCC